TTTTTTTTTTTTTTTTAATTTTTGAAATTTTCCTTCTTTATTATTTTCAACTATTATGTGAGATGTTTTGTTTTCCTTTTCATTTTTTTTTAAAATTAATATCTGGAAGGAATCTCAACCCCAAAAATCTGTTTGTGTTCTTCACGATTATGTGTTGACAAAATTAGCCAATAACTTTCATTGCTGTAATGCTTTAATAATTCTGTTTTATTCAATCTACATAAAACAGGTTTCATCAATCTCAAAACCAGATATGGCTCCTGATGTTAATGCCGGAAATAATGCTGTTGCTAATCCATCTTCCTCTGATGCTGACATTCATACGCAAAGTGTTTCTACAGTTATGGATCAAAACGCACCCTTTCATTGAGGTACTGTTAACTTTCATTGCTCGAGTTTAAGTTAATCGAACCCAATGATGTGGGACTCAACATCTTAAGTACATCACATTAAAATGTGTCGATTTGATAAACAGATTAGGGCATGGTTCTTGAATAACGAATATTTGAATGCAATTTTTCAAAGGCTCGGTTTCTATTATGTTGATGATATGGGGAGCTGTTCACTTGGATATGTCGTGCAACTTGCATTATCGGTCGTGTAAAATTGGGTTAGTTATAGCTGGGTGATGCCACATTATATTGTTTATGCAGCTTCATCTTAACTAGATTACTTCACGAAGTACACGTTACAAACTATTGACTAGTCAGTTTCCAGGAGAAATAAATACCCCACTAAATTAAAGGAAAAATATCCGAAATTGGAAGAGTTTCTAATTATTGATGATAGAAAAATGTCAATTGGGTGGAGATTATATTAAGAAGTGTATCCCTGAATGAAAGTGTTCATTGTGTGGTTTTATGGTTATTTCAACTGATCTTCTATTGACTTTCCTTGTGCAGTTTCTCCAACTCTTTTTCAGAATGAAATTTTACTCGAATGAAATTAAAGGTACATCTTAGGGTGGTGTAGTGGTGGTTTGACGTTATGCTAGTCTCGATAAGAAAAATGTATCTACTTAGTGATATTGAAAAATATAACAGCTTGACAAATTCCTTTACTCTTATAAAAATGTTTTGTAAATTGGATATATCTCCCTTCCACTTTTTATTTTAGTTCATTCAAAATAATTCGTTTTAGCAGTATTCTATTTTGAATGCTAGATGTGGAAGGTGAATACTTTGTTTTACTTTCTGCGTAAATGTTTGTATGAGTGATTACTTTTCCGGGCCATTGTGTTTTTTCGCTAATTTTGGTCTATCGAGTTCAGCTCGATCAAACAGATTTCCGGCCCCTCGTATATATTTCTCAAACCTAATAGAATTAGTCTTTAGCCATGTGAACAGAATTTGCCTCTAAGGAGTGTAGGTCTCCTAGACATAGAGCATTTAACAATGGTGTCACCTAGGACTGAAATATTCAAACTGAGTTTAATAAGTATGGAACTGACTTTGAACGAGTGCAATAAGAGGGACTGGGATAAAAAAAAAAAAAAATATTAGTAAATAAATAAGATACGTAATAAAAATAGTGTTGATACTCAATTTGACCACGATTAATAAAAAATACGACATGTGGCAAAATAAACGAGGGTTAAAATATGCTTTAAATAAATATAAAAATAGCAGGTTCTCTGAGCTGATCGTTTAGTAACAACCGAGATCTCAAAAGTCATGATCGCTTGCGTCCAAGCCCAGTTGAATTTAATGTCACCAGCTCGACTCGGATATCATAAGGAAGCCACCCCGGTAGACACGATAATTACCGATGAAGTAGACATCAATAGAAGCCGTCAAAAGTCATAAGTGGGCCCCTGTTTGTCACCTCCCATCAAACGCTAATGTACCTTTTTATTTTATCATTATTATTGAACTCATATGTATAGAGATGGGGGCCTAAAGGAGATGGGACTTTTGTTTTCTCCCCCGGAAGAGGAAACAAAATACATAAAGAGAAGAGAAACATACAGATCCTTGAATTCTATTCTTCAATTGTTATTACACTCATACAAAAATTCCATGAATATCAAATTTCGCATATCAACAAATAGATCATTCAATCTTACAATGTATTTAGAATATTAATAAAAACAATATTAAATTACATACTTTTTTAAATTCACATATCAAGTTTTCAAAATAATTTTTATCAAACTTTTGCATAAATGTATTTATATATGTTCATTTCATAATTAACGTATTTTCACTAAAAAAATAATTTCTTTTTATTATAGTTACATAAACTATAAATTACATCAAAAGAAAATCACCTAAATATATTATAAAATAAAGTTACTTGGGGTATATTGAGAAGTCAATAATATAAAAAGCGAGCCTCAAGTTAAGAATGACCTAATTAAAATGTAGACATTATATTATATTGAGAGATAGTTGAATTCAAACCTTGAATTGATTCAGGTTTTAAAAGTTGCACTTTGTATGGAATTTCCTCGAAAGAGGGAAGGGTTGTCGGAGAGAGGGCCGTTGCTAGAGGCGACTGTGAGGAGCTTGAAATTGGCGAGACAGAGACGAAGAATGTGGTGTTGTTGGTGAGGTGCATGGAGGAGAGATGGAAGTGGAGGAGGGGGAAGAAAGCGACAAGCTTGGGGCAGCCGATCTCAGCTTCACTGCTTCACTGCGCTCGTCGCCTTCAATTTCGAGCTCATGGAACTGCATCATGCATAAATGCACATTTTAGACCATGATTTGCACACTTCAATTTGCTGACTTGCACAATATAAACTTGTCGATACACAATGTCATGTTATGATTGCACATATTTATGTGCACATTGAGTTGCATATCATATAATCGTGTTTGAAAAATGCATAATAATGTAAGTGATATGTATAATAGTCAAGGAAACAAATAGCGTGCTATAGTGGCTCAAACCAATTAACGGGACGCTATCTTGCATTTCTGCGCTATACGCGCTATTGGCGATATAGCGCGCTATTGCCGCTATAGCAAAATTTGAAATTTTTTTCTGTAATTTATTTGTGGTATCTTCTTGTGATGATTTCTGGTTATCTGACTAAAATATTCCATTTATAGATTCATGATCCAACTGTTGCTGGGATGAATTGATTGATATGTTTAGTGAAACTAGTGCATACCCTGTGCGATGCACGTGATACATATAATAAATCAATTATTTCTATAGAACTTGTACGTCTAGACAAAAAACAATAGGCTTGGATCATCCATATTTCACATCTTTTAATAAGTGGCGTTTATTTAAGCCAAAAATTTAACATGTTAATTAATATATAATTTCGCTCACACGTCATACTAATATTTATTTGATTTTAGAATACATATTTATTCATTGATATAAGAAAAAATAAAATTTTTATTTATTCTCGTTCATCATATAATACTCAATTATTATTTTATTATAAAATTTATAGTCATATAATGTCATTATTATTATTTATAAAAGTTATAGAAGTAGTCTTCTTTATGTAATGAAATTCAAAATAAAATTTTGAGTATAAATGTTTACAAAATACACACACATGTTTTTTTATAATTCAATTTTCTCATAATAATTCTTTTTTTTTTAAAAAAAAAATAATTTAGCAATTGCCAAAAAATAAATTCCTTACATAATCAAGAGATTTTTTTCTAATTTTCATCCTAAGGCTTTATAGTTTATTTAACTAACATACTATGCAATAGAAAAATATTTTACAATATGTTCATTTTTGAAACATAACAAAAAAAAAAGTGATAAAAACACTATCGTAGTTGACAATAATATACAAATAAATAACATGTCAAAATTTTAAAGAATAACTAATATAATTTTATTATTTAACCATCAATAAAATCATTTAATGATGTGATCATTATCTTTTAAATGATAAATAATATTAATTTTTTTAAAAAAATATTAGTTTTATATAATTAAATAAAGGTTAAAAAATATTACTCGACAAATATTAATTATAATGGATATCAGTAAAATCATTGCATAAATTATTTAAGGAAAAAATATTTAAGATCATATCCGTATAGTAAATATAATTATGCAAGCATTTAATGCATATAGTAAAAAATTTCCAAATAAGGTTTGTATTAAATGTGTGTTGACTTTTCTTGCTATTATTTTTGGTAAATAGGTTGACTTTTAATATATATATATAGATGTAGCAAGTTTGGACAAAATAAAATGAAATACTAAAGACGGATACGCAATGTGATCAATTGGAAAATTAGTGAACTTCAAAAATATTTTAAATCAAGGCAAAACTTCATAAATATTAAACCAAGGCAACCCATTAATTCAAAAAAAAAAAAAAAAAAAAAAAAAAAAAAAAAAAAAAAGAGAAAACTATCATTCCATTTAAAATAGCGCGCTATAGCGTGGACAGCAATGCAACGCTGCGGCGTATAGCAGCCGCTATAGCGCGGTGATAGCGCCGCTATAGCGGCCACTATAGCGGCAATAGCGGCCAAATCAGCCAAACGCGAAATTCGATAGCTCGCTATTTGTTTCTTTGATAATAGTACATATGAAAATGTACATAAAAGATATTATCGTATTACATGAAATTATAAAAATGACATTGAGTGGATAATTAAAAGTTCACGAAATTACCATAATATCATCGGGCTACAATAATTACAACAATATTAGGTGACATGCACATTAATACCGAATACGTAAGAAAATACACATTATCTTACCCATATGTTTGACGAAACGGAGAAAATGTCTCCGCCTGGAATTTAGAAGTACACAATTTTTTTTTTTTTTTTAAAAATAATATGCATATGCACTTTTGATTGATAGGAGCATTGGCCAAATTTAAATCGTTGATATATCATATCCAACAGTTACAACAATAACAAACAACAACAAAACCTTTTAGTCCCAAACAAGTTGGGGTAGGCTATAGATGAAACTCAAGAGAAATAGTGGTAAGAAACACAAAAAATGGCTCAAAACAAAACAAAACAAAACAAAACAAAACAACACGAAACAAAACAAAACTCAAAACAAAAACAAAACAAAACAAAGAGATTGAAGCAAAAGTCACGATTCTGGCACGTTAATATATCATATCCAACAGTTATAATCTATTTTTATTTATTTACTCTATATATATACATATAACTACTAGCAATACATTAAATAAAACCTCATAAATTATACGTAAGTGCACCTACCGTTCTAAAAACCAATTATATTAATTAAGACAAAAAAACTGTTGCACTTTATATTAATTGAGTGATAGTTATATTTTTTCATTGTATCATATAATATTTTATTAAAAATAATAATTATTTCACTAAATGATATATGAAAGTTACACAAATATACGAATTTATATTGTAAAATATTTTGTTCAAGTTATTTATTATAAAATCAATATTATATTTTTTCTATCTCATCAAGGGATTGTATTTAAACAAATTAATTTATTTTAATACCACAGTAAAATTCCTTAAATTGCATAAGCAATTGTTATAATAAATTTAATATTTTTCAGCAAATTAATTGATCGCGATTTCTCAAAATTACAGGTATTACATTATTTATCACATTTTATTCAATCAATATAATACATATGCAATCAAATTTATTTCAACCAATTATCATATTTTAAAAATTTACAACATTATTTAACTTATAATTAAATATTATATGCATAAATCCCCCTATCCCCTCCCCCTATATATTAATACAGAACGCGCTGAGCCTACGTGGCTGCTTCTGGTGCTTCGGAATCCTATGTGGCAAAATTACATGCTTCGTTATTAGGCTTGGGTAAATTTTAATTTAATTCCAAACCACAAATAATTAGGTTCGGATTACCATAAATATGTTGATTATTTATGGTCATGTTACATATATTAATTGTATTTTAATATCATTCTTTATTATAACTATTGAATTGTATATATATTTTAAAAGTTAAAAACTTTTGTATTTTTTATCAGTTTTACATATGTAATATATCAAATTAATCTTCTTTTGATGAGCATCGATTTAACATCCATATTGTATGTATAGAAAAAATAATTTATATTTATCTTTATAACAATAATAAAATTATTTTTAATATTAATTAGAAAAATAAAATTATTTATCAACTAATATATTTATATTTCAAGTAGTTATATGATATAAGTTATAAAAACTAATATAATATAACACATGTAAGTCATAAGTAACACATATCATTCTAAAAATATAGTAATATATTTTTTTTGTAAAAAAATAAACTAAATTTAATATAGTTTTCTCATTAATTTTAAAATTTAAGAATAATTTTTTAACAAGCACCCGTGTAATGAGTGTTGTACTAGTATAACTTATAATACTCTATGTTAGTGATACATATGCAATCAAATAACTACGTACTATTTATTTTAACCAATTACCATATTTTAAAAATTAATAACATTAACTAACTTATAATTTAAATATTATATGGATAAATATATCAAATAATACTCTATGTTTAGAATTTAATATCGTTATATAATTTATAATTTTAATATTATATACATATAATATCCCATAAACACCCTTGTTTGTCCATTCTCCAAACAAACCCAAGTCCCGAATTTGTTCCCCTCCAATCCCGCTGCTGCATCCCCGCCGCGGCCACTGTCGCCCTGCCATCGCCGGCGTGCCAATCTTACTGCTCTCTGCAAGTCCATAAACCCTATTCCTCGCATCGTATTGCTGCTCTTATCCGTTAAGTCGCCACCTGACAGCTGCCACACCCGCCGGTCACCACCTCCGGTCAGTCTGTTTCTCTGTATGCTATTAGTTGTGTTAGAAGTTTTAATCTGATAATTTAAAAGCTTAATAAATAAATTCAGCTTCCATGGAAATAGTTCAATGAAAAATCCGTGTGGATTCCTTCAATTTGAATAAGATAAAATAAGGGTAGGTAGGAAAGGAACTTGCTTCAGTAAGGCCGAGGGGAAAAATTGCTTCTAGAACTGTCTTGGGCGGTAAGCAAACACGGCCAAATTTTTACATTGAGCTCCACTCTCAATTCGTGGGGGATTTTGGTTTACTCTATAGCTATTCTCTGCGTTTTGTGGGCTTTCACTTTTCCGGTGCCTAAGTAGTGTTTCACATGTATGCCAGCATGTCTCGAGTTTATGGATTTCCTCTAGTATAGTTAATTTCCTTCAAGAAGTTGAAAATGATCTAGTCTCGTTTTTGTCTAATCGGGTCTTTTTGTTAACCTGTTTTGTTTTTTCTAATGTGGAATGTAAGTAATTGTCAGTTTTTTTATGTGTAATTCTCGTTAAAGTTACCTATTTTGTTTACCAGTGCCCATGGCTCTTGCACTCGGCAAACTGACCATCATAGTTGGTGCAGGTTAGTGATTTCTCTCTTGATGAAATTAGTGATTGCATAAAAAATATTGAACTTTATGTTAGCTTTTCTTTTCTTTTCCTTGTCATGTGTATTGTATGCTAATCGATCTTTTTTTTTGTTCATTTTCTTGTTGCTTGCTTTTGCCTTTAAACATTAATGCTTTAATTTACAACCAGTTGTAGACTGGAAGCCATACTTTTGGCTGTCCTGTTGATATCAAGCTTTATTTTGATTGAGCTTAATGCCTCCATTAAATTTATTTTTCGAGTATGTGGGATCATCTTATAGATAACAATCATGTTCTTGTATCTGCCTCTTCTTTTGTGGGGTTTAATTGAAGGGAGGTTACTGGGGGCTGGAGTTGTCAGTTCTTATTGTATAGAGGTAGTAGTACTGCTGGATTGTATGGTGCTGGAAACAACTTGGTGAGGGAGCTCATAAGACATAATATTGTGTTGCCACGAAGCTTCCATTAATCAGTCAATTTGTGTAATTTTACCATGAATGTTGCACCTAATGCATTGGCTGAAAAATGTTGTGGTATGGGGATATAATTGTAGCTCTGAATTGAACAACTCCTATTATTGTATAATGCTAAAAAGGTTCACATGACACTTTTGTTGTAATCACACAACTAGATCAATTGAAGAAAAAAGTTTGATTGGATAGTTTTTCATTTTTAGAGAAATAAGTATGAAAATATTTGTAGAATATGTTTTGTAAACTTTTTTTCCTTTGTAAAGTGCCGTAAGTAATAAGGAGGGAAAAATTCATGAAAATTTTAACAGTATACTTTCTAAAAGCTTTTACAACCTATAACAATATCAAAGTTTTTTCTAATAAACTGGAGTGAGTAATATTTTGGTTATCCAAGAGCAACCTTTATTTTTAGTTCACATGTTTGTGTATAAGGATTAGATTCGACTAGATGACTCAACGTCCAGTAAGACTTCTTCTTGTCAGCTGTCCATGTAAATAATTTTTCTTTTTCTAATTCCTTGTAACTTATTACTAGTAGTTACTTCGTATTGCTTATTTAACTACTTGTTGGACTTATGTTGTGATTGTAATTTAATTTTTTTTTAGCTGACAATCTAGGGATTTTAACGTGCCCCACATTTGCGTTTCTTCAGGTGGTATTTTTTTT